GTGGCTTCTATGATGTCTTGTGTCTCTACCAATCTATCTATCTGTCTATCGACCGGTCTATCGATCGAGATCGATCAACCTACCGATTTTCTGATATGTTTATCTATCTATCTGTCTACCTACCTATATCCATCTGTCTTATATATATATCTATATATATATATATATGCAAGCATGCAGAAACATGCTATATATATATATAGCATGTACATATATACCAAACCTGGCACCCTTGAGAGAGTGCGGAAGCGACGCCAGTGCATCGGCTCTTTTCCCAAATCGAGCTACGCGCTGCATAAGAGCCGGCAGATAGGGTCACCATGAGCCCCTCCACGAAGCTAGCTTGAGGATAGGGTGTTGTGAGTTGATGTGTTGGGCGTATTTGGAACATGACATGGCTAAACAGGCTTGATGGATTGATTAAGGGTTTGACTTACTTGGCGAGGGGCATATCGCAAACAGAGCCCCCGACACTAGAGGGAACAGTCATAGTGGCTCAGGCACGCGGGAACACCCCTGTACATTGTGTCTGGTGGCGCCTCCCAGACGTTCGTCAAACAATTGAAAGGTGCAATGATGCAAGAACCACACCTCTCGGAGACTCAAAGCTCAGCTGCCCTTTTCGCCATAGCCTTTGCCTGAGCCGGGCGCAAGCAAGAACACCCCAACATGCCAGAATCTCTGTCGTTTCTCACCGACTGTGCATGATCGTGTCCACTTCTGCGAGTTCTATATATCATGAATCTGAAATCCTATTCCTGAACCCAAAACCCTAAACCCTAATGTAGGGGCCTTAATAATGAAGAAAAGGGTTTTGGGGGATATCATACTATACTTATAATAAGGAGCCCTCAAACTCAAAATAGTATAAGTAATTATTTAGGCCCCTATATTTATAATAAGGAGCCCTCAAAATACTATGGGTAATTATTTAGGCCTCTATATTAAACCCTAAACCCTAAACCCTAAACCCCAAACCCTAAACCCCTAAACCCCTAAACCCATAACCCTAAGCCCTATACCATTAGGCGCCTAAACTATCGACCCAAAGAGGCCAGCCTCCGCCGCCTTTTCCCCAGCCCTTGCCCCAGCCGAAGCCCGAGGTCATCCAGAGCCTCGGGCTGATTCTCTCAGTGCAGGGGTCGAGGAGTTCCAGCCATGGGGCTCGTTTTCGGTTTAGGGTTTAGGGTTTAGGGTTTAGGGTTTAGGGTTCAGGGTTCATAGGGTTTAGGGTTTAGGTTTCAAGGTTTAGGGTTCAGGGTTTAGGGTTTTCGGTTTAGGGTTTAGGGGCAATGGGCTCGTGTTCTTGGGGGGGGGTCCTCTTTGAGGGTTCCTGGTGTGGGAGTCTGGGGGCTTGGGGTTTAGCGGTTTAGGGGCTTGGAGTTTAGGGGGTCTAACTACTTCTACTACTACTACTACTACTACTACTACTACTACTACTTGGAGTTTAGGGGGTCTGGGGCTTTAAGGGTTTGGGGTTGCAAGGGCTCTTCTATAAGGTTTGCGGCGGTAGGGTTTAGGATTGGGGCCTGAGGTTCTCTTGAAGACTTCTACATAAGAGAGAGCTCCTATGAAATTTCCGTTAGTAGCGCGGGTGTGTGGGTTTAGGGTTTTAGCTTTAGGAATCACGAGGCTTGCCTTCACCTGGACCCCAAACAACCTACGTTCTTAAGGACCTGTAATTATAAGGGAATCACAGTAAGGAAGCCCCAATAAGAACGAACTCTTAAGCACTTCTAGTTATAAGGGAATCATAGTAATGACGCCCTAAGAACGAATTCTTAAGGACTTCTAATTACAAGGGAATCATAGTACGGAAACTCTAAGAAGAAATTCTATAAGGGGATCATAGAACGGAAACCCTAAGAAGGAATTCTTACGGACATATAATTGTAAGGGAATCACAGTGAGAAGCCCTGAGACTGAGAAGGAAGTTATTTTAGGGTCCAGGTGGGGGTTAAGGGAGAGTTCTAGTTCTGGGGGGGGGGGGGCCTTGGTAATTAGAATAGGTTTTGGGGGGCTCGTTTAACGAGATCTATAAGGGCTACTATAAGGGTTTAGGGTTTAGGGGCCTTAATATAGGGACTCGCATTACAAGTCAAGGCCCTCCTTCCAACGATGCAGCCAAACATGGTCTGGGCTTGGGCTTAGGGGTTTCAAGTCTAAGGTTTAGGGTTTAGGGGTTTGAAGATTTAAGATTTAGGGTTTAGGGTTTAGGGTTTAGGGGATTGAAGTTGAAGGTACATCTATAGACACAGACTATAGACCCTAGTACCTATTTCGGCCTTGCCAAGGCCATTGCATATTGAACCAGAGAAGTACATGGGCTCTACGGGGAAACACAAGACAGAAATGAAAGGCCGCGAGAGGCCCTGTATATGAATCCAACCCTAAACGGCCCTAAACCCTAAACCCTAAATACGGCCGCGGAACATCTGTTGCACTTGGTTGCCAGCGGCCCCGAGCAGTGTTACCTTTCGGGCTGCGCGCCCCTTCTCCTGCTAGAGGCTTGCGGGGCTTCAAACCTAAACCCTAAAACCTAATTGAGGGTTTAGGGTTTAGGATTTAGGGTTTAGGGTTCAGGATTTAGTAAACCGGCTTGGGGTCGAACAGCTTAACCAGGAGCTAGTTCTGTGACTTCTATGCAGATTAAGACAGGGCTTCTGCAAGGTGTTTGCGAGGTTTTTCAGCAGTGTCCCGTGTGTAATGAAGCCATGTGTCCTTTCGTGTTTGTGTGTGGGTGGGTGGGTGGAGGCTCATGCAATTTGTTCTAGGTGGGCTTTGAGAATAGAACGAGGAGTAGCATCCGTGCGACAGATCCTAGGATTTAGGTTCTCCTAAACACCTCCCTAGACCAAGACGAACCCCGAAACCTAAACCATAATATAGGGGCCTTACTAATTAGAATAGGTTTGGGGTATATTATACTATACTTATAATAAGGAACCCCCGAAACCGTATCCTAAATATTCAGGCCGCTACACTATCGTCGCAGTTGTGGGATTGCTCGCAAAAAACCCAATCCCCGTCTTCTCCTCCTGGACAACGCTGAACTTGCACATCGCACCTTGCGCTCATGGATTTGGGGTTTGAGGGTAACTAGCAGAAAACGGGAAGGGCTGAGGGTTTAGGGTTTAGGGTTTAGGCTTCGTGATGATGGTTGTAGAGTTGAGGGAGTCAAGCAGTAACACCTAAAGCCTAAACAACTGACTCCAAACAGATCTTTACGAATCACTTCCACCCCCTAATAATAAAAACACATGGGGCAAATCCTCCCGAAATCATCCCTGCCCTTTAAAGCCTATTCTGAGATGGGGAAGGGTTTCGAGGGGAGCACAAGCGGGAGCAACAGCAAAAGCAGCAGGAGGAGGCGCAAGAGACGCAGCAGAAGCAGGAGCAAAAGCCAGCGCAGGAGCAAGCGCCATAGCAGGAGCCCCTCAAAAGTGGCAGCAGCGATAACCAAAATCCGCCTAGTAATAAAGACACTTTCCGAGTATCTATCGGGGGCCCCTCCGTTTAATATTAAGGGGATAGGATTAAACCGTAGGCTCTAAACCCTAAACTAAGTGGATCTTCGAGAGGCAGGAACCGCCGGAATCTGACTGCTCGGCGTCTTGAGTTCCCCGATCGCTTTCGGCTAGAAGACTTCGGGCCACCAGTGGTGTCGTTGGTAGTCTATTTCGAAAAGGGACTTAAAATCTAAGTCTTGTCCTAAGGCTCTAAGGACTCATAGTTTATGTAAGGCGGTTCGGCCCAAAGACCATACAATATAAGGCTTTTAGGCTATCTTGAGCATTAGGGTTAGGCTTTTCCCAGTAGGACGTCTCCACAATCCTCAGCCCCCAAGCACAAACCACTGAGCCTGAAGAACCTCCTAATCCTCAGTTCAGAACACGGGACGCCTTAATCCCTAAACCCTAAACCGTCCTTTGATGTGAATTCACCACGCACCGGACGGGCAAGCCAAGATGCAACAACAACAACAACAACAACACCAACAACCCCTAAACGTGGCAACCTAAAGCCGCAAAAGCCCTAAACCCCTGGAGCCTAAAACCTAAACCCCTGGAGCCTAAACCCTAAACCCCTGGAGCCTAAACCCTAAAACCCTAGATACCCTAGACCCTAAACCCCTAAACTCCTAAACCTAATTAACAATTAACCCTAAACCCCTGAAGCCTAAACCCTAATAAACCCTAAACCCTAAACCCCTGAAGCCTAAAACAACCCTAATAAACCCTAAACCCTAAACCCCTGAAGCCAAAAAAAAAAAACTCATAAACCCTCAA